TTCCCCTAACCATCCATTGGCTAGTATCATTAGTACCATGAAGCTGTGTTTCTCGTAAGTGGCTGTTGCTATTAGTAGGCAACTACGCTACATGGCAGGGAAAAGGTTTTAGCTGAGCTGTAGCTTTTAAGTGTTCGTTTTGCTCTTGCAGAGCCCTGTCGCAGACTGGCATTCACTGCAGTGCTTCATGGTATAACGCCTGCATGTCAGGAACAAAGTTACTTCCGTTCATTCCAAGAACAGCCAAAACTTCTGCCCAAAATGCTCTGACGCTTGTCAGTCAGACTAAACCTCTCCTAAGCTTGACGCATTAAAATTGAACCCTGTTTGGTACTTTATCCTTACCTTTCTAGCTGGATTAAATGATTTTTTTTCTCTTTAGCACCACCACCATACAGAAGTAGAGAGCATTCCTCATTACACCAGCAATGCAAAAGAAAGAAAACCCTGCCTGCCCATCTCCTTGCATTGAAATTTTAAACAGGTGGCTGGGACATCATAGATCCACATGCATTGAGACTTCTCTCGTGTACTGGTTATAGACAGTTTAACTCATGCACATACTCATGTTCATGGCATTTGTTTCTAGGTCAGCCGCCCAATGACAGAAAAAGCCCAAAATGTCCTGAAGATTGAATGTGATGAATACTGCCTGACCCTGTCCGCAAGGTACCGCCCACAAACAGCCATGGCAGAGCACGTTACATTCCAGAGCTGTCTCTCTACATTAGTCTAACCAATACCTAAGACTTAACTAGTGCCTCATTCTTTTTTAACTCAATTTCAGTCTGTGCTGTTGTGACAGACAATGGCTGAATGCTTGATTACGCCATGAAGATATTTGTTATAAACGTGAAGAAGCTCATAAACTGTAACTAATTCAACTCACCTACTGAGTAAAGACTAGCAGTTAGGTCTTCAGAACATCTTAAAGGAAAGAGAAGAAAGTCTGTTACTAAGAAGCCCGAGTGCTTTCCATTCTCTTTCACACTTTTTCCCTGTGACATTGAGAGTATGTTATATCTCCTTTTTATAAAGTTCACTTGTTACTTCATATCACTAGGGTTGCAGAACTGCTGGAGAAAACAGTTATTAGGTAATAACATGCAACAGATATAAAAGCATTTAATTGTGCTTCAATGACAAAGCCAAACTTAACCTTACTGGCAACCTCATGGGTTCCTCAAAAGGAATTTCACTAGTGAGTTTGTGTAGTACTCATACTGATTGCAACTGGGAGTCAGGATCCCTGGCCTGGGATCACAAGCTAATGCCAGAAAGAAATCGTAGGTCGGCTTCTGATTGGAATATAGCAGTGTACTGTATTTTTTCATGCTTCTAGCCCAAAATTATCATGCAAATTTACTTCGAGATATAGCAGAAAGGTGGCTGGCTTGACTTTCAGGTGTAGCTCACTACAAAAGACTAGCAGTGATACTAAAATTAGGTCTTCACTGTTTTTAAGTACTGACTTCTCCACCATCAGCCTCCAATTAAAGCATGGCTGGAATCACAGCAGACTTCCCTAAATTACACAGTGCAATAGAAAGATGGGGAGGCACTTCATTACTCAGAATCAGAATTTGGAGCTCTCAAGCTTCCCAGAGCACTTGCCACCTGTGGGCAGTGCTCAGATACCTGTCAAAGCCTTTGAATCCATTTCCTTTTACAACCAGCAAATGAGAAGATGTCTGAGATTTTCTTAGAGCTGCACACTTATCAGACCCCTCAGAATATACACAGTACTTCTGAATTACCTCCTGCCAGTTACAAAAGCAGGATATGTACAATCCTTCTGTACTGCTACACTCGCCAGAAGGAGCAGAATGACAGTGACAGCATGACAACAAAATCCCATCCCAGTCCAGTTTCTGTGCTCCATGGATGTCCCCTGCAGTCCATGAGGCTGCAGTGACAATTTGACCCTCTATTTGCTTAAGGAAGGAATACATGAGCCAACACAGATATGATAGCTCAGCACGAAAGATGCAGCCCAAAAATCACAGAAGGATCCAATGTGGCAATGGTGAATCAAGGTCTGAGCTTCTCTGAGCATCAGAGGTTAAGTAAAAATCCCTCTGAGCCTTCATGCAAGCAGTGAAACAGGTGATTAAGAACAGGCTGGTGCCAATTGAGATCATTTATCTTACTCACCAGCAGACAGATGTTATTCCCACATTTAGACGCTAATAACCTATGATTACTGCCTAGAGATGTTTAAGGGAGTGGAGAAGAGGCTAAAGGGGCCAGTTAGATATCAGACTTTTAATACCAGATTGTCCCTCTTACCGGCCTTTCCCAAAGAGGTTTTAATTTACAGCACTACATTGGCCATGATTTCCTTTGGGTTTTTTTTAATCATATCTTCATTCTCAAGTGAAGAGAATTTCCAAAAAGGAATCAGCAAGAGAAAGGTTAAAGCCAAAACTTCTTTTAGTGTTTTCCAGGCTGCAAACATAATTTGCCTGAAAGGTAGAGACTAAGAAATCTTCAGATCTAAGAAATCTTCAGATTTCTTAGAAAGGCTAATTTGACAGGACTTTTGGTAGTAAAGTGGACTGACTAGTAGTATGACTCTTGCCAGAGATGATCTCCTGTAACCTAGGCCCCTGGCTTTCAGAGGTTAGCCTATATGCAGTAGTTACACTGGCTCAGAGTTTCTGCCACAGGCTTCTTGACATTTACAACGACTGGTGTTTTTCAGACAAGGGCTTATGCTCACAGTGCAGAGGGATGCTGACTCAGAGATCCTTGATAAAATCTGGCATTTCCTCTCTTTTTATGTCACACCTCCCCACCCCCATTTTTTTTTTTAAGACCACAACAGACAAATTGTTCTCAGATGTCTGGTTTGGTGCCTTCATGAGGACAGTGTGAGGAAATCACAGCTGAACGGCAGCTGGCAATTATGCCACTGATCATTTTTATAACAAAGTCTAGTAGGTAGCTTTAACGTGAGCAGCTGGCATGGCTTAGGTGGGGAGATCATGCTGAGCTGCATTCCCTCTGGGACTGATGCTGGGAACAGCTAGAGCTATGCACAGTGTCAGAAGGACAGAAAGCACGCAGTTTGAAGTCACAGCAAGAAAACCAGCTAATGCAGGCAGGACATCTTATGGCTGTAACAGAACAAAAGCATCTGGGAAGTAACAAGCACCGTAAGAGCCCTGCTGGTTTTTTGGGACAGCTGGACTGGTAGAGAAGTACAACGTGCTCACTTGTTTTGCCTTGTGCAAAGGGGGCATCTAGGGGCCAGTCTGGAGAACTACTGGCCTCCATGCAGAACTTCCTTCCCAAATTGTTGTCCTGGCCTCTTGATAGGAGACTGGAGATTGTCTCTGATGGAGCTAGAGGAAAATGAAAGCATCCACATCTCCACCATGGGTGACAGATTCCTGCATTTCCCAACATGCAGAGCGTCCTACTGTAGAGATGACCATAAACATGCTTACTTTGAGCAACCCATGCCAACAGTACATGCACTAGAGTGCCTAAAAGCTAGAGCAGACATGGCAAAAAAAGGACATTTCATATCACCCTATGTGATCCAGGGTTGAGCAGCTTATAGTAAAGTCAGAGACTACTCGGGAAAAAAACCTGTGCATTTAGTTCCTTCTCAGTGACAGTCCTAACCATGGGTCTGCACTAATCATTCCACTGAATATATCCCACAGTCAATTTTATTCCTGGTCAGAAAATGGCCAGTTAAATGCAGTAGTGGGGAAAAAACAAACATTCATAAAATGAAACTTTTCTCCTCTGATCGAGAAACTCCCTGTTTCACTCCCTGCTGTGCATGGCACTGACTGGTCTGCTGTATTTCATTCCACAGCTCTTGCTCGGAAAGGGATGACTGGTACAGCTGCATCAGCAGACACATCCCAGATGACTACAAAGCTCACAACACTTCCACTTTTCACAGCAGCGTGGAGGTAAAAGGAGGCCAAGTCTTTCAATGCTGGAAAGGGGAAGAGGGATGAGAGAGAAAGAGAGGGAAAAGGAGAAGGGTTATAAAATGCAGAGTTCTTAGTGGCAAGATGTTCTTAATAATTTCATTTAAACCAGTATGCCAAACTTAAACAATGCTCATGGGTCACCAGTGAAATGTTAATCACACTCTATACTCTGTGGTCTTTGCTTAAATAGGAATTCTGGAGGAAGATTATTTTGTCCTAAAGGGTAACTATTTTGGATGAACTAAAAATAGCTATAAACTTCGTAAATTTTAAGAAAACAAACCTACCCATTAGTTCCACTAACATCATACACACAGTAGCCACCGCCAGCGCAAAACGCACCAGCAACAGTCTAATTGCACCAGCACAATTCATATATATGATTGATATGTCATCAATTTCAGTCGTACTACTCCCAGTTCAGTATACTAAGAATGCATCTGACAAATAGTGAAAATGCTATTTTAGGTTATGTAGAGTCCCAGTTTTACTAAAATGCTATTTTAGGTTATGTAGAACCTCAGTTTTACTAAAATGCTATTTTAGGTTATGTAGAACCCCAGTTTTACTAAATAAAACTGAGGAAAAAAGAGTGCTGATGAGACCACAGCTGGAGTGCTGCATCCAGTGGTGGGCTTCTCAGTACAAGAGAGACATGGAAACCTTGGAAAGAGTCCAACTAAGAGCCAGAAAGATGATTAAGGGAATGAAGCATCTCTTCATTAGCCATCTTGAGGAAAGGTTGACAGAGCTGGGACTGTTCAGCCTAGAGAAGGGAAAGCTCAGGGGGATCACATCAATGTGTATAAATACCTGAAGGGAGGCTACAAAAAAGATGGATTCAGGCTTTTCTCAGTGGTGCCCAGTGACAGGGCTAGAGGCAATGGGCACAAAGTGAAACACAGGAGGTTCCCTCAAACATCAGGAAACACTTTTTCACTCCAAAGGTGACTGAGGATTGGCACAGGTTGCCCAGGGAGATTGTGGAGTCTCCATCCTTGGAAATATTCAAAAGTTGCTAGATATGGTCCCGGCCAACTGGCTCTAGGTGGCCCTGCCTGAACAGGGGCTTGGACTAGATGGCCTTCAGAGGCCTTTTTTGACTGAAACCTATAATGCTTTTTATGGATATTTCTTCAAAAGCTGCTAATAAGAAGGTGGCTTTAACTCACGTTCTTACCTGCAATTTGTATAAACAATGAATCAGATCCTTGCCTGATGTGGAAGAGTGTCAGTGCCTGGGCAATAATATATCTATGTGGATTTTTACCTGTTGTGACTCTGGCTATACAACACCATGTACTGACTGGCCACAGTCTTTCAGTGCTGAAGCAGCTCTTTCTCGCTTACAAGATGCATTAGGAATTAGAAAATTTAGGGATCTTAGCAGGTAAAGGTAGACAAAAATGAGAGAATTGTACGTGACAGAGCAGGGCTGACTGTGTGGACGTTGTAAGTGCAGATGCTTCACTTGTTCTTCTTTGATTTTAAGCTAAGGGAAAGGCTTGGAATACCCTTGGGTGAGAGGCCTCCCACTCTGGTACCTGTATCCCATGTCATGATGTGCATGAACTGTGGCTGTGACTTTACCCTCACTTTGAGACGACATCATTGCCATGCATGTGGGAAGGTAAGAGCTGTACGAGCTTCTCAAGGAGGCTTTATGCACACCTCCGGTCCACTGGCTGCCACTCTGTAACTGCTGCAAACTTGTAGCAGCATCAAGACCAGAATTTGCCTTCTCACAGAACTTGCTAGTGTTTTGGTAAATTAGGTTTCCAATGACTTTGGTAGGAACAAAAGTAACCTTCCCTTGAGGGTCAAATTAACCCCCAAAGGCCAGTAGTTGAAGGCTGCCGAGTCCAGCGATTTTATCTGATACATAGCTAGCTCTAGAGACAGTGAAGCAACAGACTAAAAATACAGGCTACGTTCTGGACCAGAGTAGTAGCACAACTAGTCCATGTCCTGTCCCTAATAACAGCTGGTAAAATTCTCTTCCAAGAAGAGTGAAAAAACTCAGCAGCAGAGCATGGTTTGATCAGTGACCAAAGGGAAAGTTTCCTCTGTGCTCCTTTAAAGAGCTGCTGCCTTTTGCCCTAAAGCCAAGAGGATCAATAAGCTTTCTTGGTTTTGTCCCTTTATCTCTGACTCTTAGAGATTTGTTCCTACGCATAAACCTGCAGTCCTGTTTTAAGCCATGGCTGTGTTTTTGACTCGGGTATATTTTATTTTTATTTTATCAAACAGCCAGTGATTTTTGCTAGTACAAAAAGGTATTTACTTAATCTTTTTCTAATTCCACAGAGAAAAATCAGCTTGTACCTTCCCAGGGATAGCAGGAACGTGCAAGCTTGCTTAAAACCACCAATGTTATTAACAAACCTATGAAAACAAAAGTAATATTAAAATGGTCTTTCCATGATTCACTAGTAAGAAAGGTGTAAATTCCTGGGAAGATGTGTACAGCAGTGATGTGCAACCAAATACAGTGATCAATTCTGCTTGGTTTATAACAGCATACATCTTCAGCAATCACATTTCAGTCAATAGACTTACCCTGATTGCCACATTTTTAGGAGAGAGTCGTATTTGATCCCCTATAGAACTTCATCTCCCAACCAGATAAGTGGATTTGTTTTCTATCTGCATATATATCCATTTAAATTATATTTATGTGCATCTCTCCTTGCTGGAACAGATTGTATGTCGAAATTGTTCAAGAAACAAGTACCCTATGAAGTACCTCAAAGATCAAGCAGCCAAAGTCTGTGATAGCTGCTATGTGGAACTTAAGAAAAGAGGTAAGACTCCTTCATTCTTGGCAAAACTGACACAATTTCCTGCCTGTATAATGGAGAGGCTTCTGGATCTGCCTAACATGTTCTGTTCAAGCACAAAGCATGTGTATTGAGGTCCCAGGAGTGCCAGGCTGTATGACAGCTAAAACTGTTTTAGCAAGGCAGGTTCTCCGAGGGCCTCTGATGAACCAGAATAACAATAAAAACCATGTACTATTAGGAGCTGCTGAGGACACAGAGTTTGTCTAGTTTGGAGAACAGGAGGCTGAAGGGTGACCTCATTGCTCTGCATAGCTTCCTGAGGAGAAGTAGAGACAGAGGTGCTGATCTCTCCTCCCTGGTATCCAGTGACAGAACACACACAAATGATTTAAAGCTTTGTCAGGAGAGATCCTGACTTGACATGTGGAAACATTTCTTTACCCAGAGGGTGGTCAAACACTGGCACAAGCTTTCTAGAGAGGTGGTCAATGCACCATGCCTGTCAATGTTTATGAAGCATTTGGACAATGCCCTTAATAACACACTTTAACTTTTGGGCAGCCCTGTGGTTCCTTTCAACTGAACTGTTCTATTCTGTGATGTAATTATAGGTGATAGCTTTTCTCCATAATTTCTAATGAATTATCCATTTAAATAAAACAATGACTTTACAGTTGCTTGCAGTCCTCATCCATGTTGTAGCTTTTATAAAAAGAAGTGCTGAGGTAAAGTGCACAGTAACTAAGAGCTTTCCACATGGGGAGGTACTCTGTCTGGAGATGTGTCGTGGTTTCGGCATGAATTCAAAGCAGAAGAGTTACTGCCTAACTGGAACTCTGTATTATTGTCCTAGTATGTAAGTCCCTTCTCCAATTTAAATACACATCCAAATCAAAGATAAAGGGGGAGTACGGGTTACATATATATGAACAGAGAACAAACAGGAAATAACATTCTTGCACAGCTATTCATGTAGACAGTCTCTAAAAGTAGGCACATTATATTGGCAAGGATAAAAAGGTGGAGGAGACAGATGAACTTGTTTATCATGATTTAAGAAATTCACCACTAGCCAAGCAAACATATGAACAGATATTGTCACAACAGCCAAAAAAGCATCCCCGAGCCACTGTGTGTCCAAGAAGTGACAAGTCAGATTTGTGCTAAAACAACGCTATGCTTTACTAAGAGCTTCCAAATAGCGTGCGTTGCCAGAAGTGAGATCATGAAGATAGGAACTCGGAGAAGTGGGGTTAATGGAGATTGACGGAATAGCTCTCTCCCATGCAGAACTCAGAGGCAATAGCTCATATAGAAAGAACGTCCCACTAGTGAATCTATGCTGCAAAAGTCTTGCAGAACAGAGATAGATGGAAAAGCCATTTGCTTAAAGCAGATTTTAAATTAGAAGGAAAAAAAAAAAAAAAGCTGTGTTTTATGCTTTGTCAGCTTTCTTGCAGGCTTCTCTCAAGTAGCTGCAGATTATTACCATTAACCTAGGGTGGTAAAAAATCTGCCCAGATAATCAGACTTAAAGGGATGATTTGAAAGAAAAGCTAAGATAAAAACTAGCTATGGAGTAAACATTGCATTTTCCTTAGTCATTTGCATTAGCTTGTGCCTCTTAGCCCTAATCTGATATGTACCAATTCATCCATTTCCCCCTTCCCTTTCTGAATTTTCTTAACCTTGCAGAGCGGCCACTAAGTGTGAGCTTCCCTCCAACTTCATCCAAGTGTTCAAGCAGTGCCTTCTCCTCTGTCTTCCACAATATTCATTATTCATCTTTTAAGAAACAGAAGAAAATCCCTTCGGCTCTTATGGAGGTAGGACCAGGCAGCCTGACAAAGGCAAAGAACTGTAGAAAACTCTGTGCTCGCAGTTCAGCAGCTTTGTCCATAATTTATTCTGTGTGCAGTGGTCTCAGCCCATACCCTAGTCTGCAATTACTTTTTTTCTGTTTTTCACAGTAGTGTTTCCCCAGCTATTCAGGAACAAGGTGCCAATCACATTGATGTAGTCTAGGTAGCTATCAGCAGGTATTTGTTGTATTAAACAGAAGAGGGTGCAAATATCTTGCTGAAGTCATTATACAGCCCAGGCACTGGAATTTCTTGAGGTTTGTTTGTGCTCAGGTGAAACTGAGCCAGGGATACAAGCATGTAATACAGACACACTAATGGAATACTGAAAGAAAGGGCTTTAAAGAATTGCCTATTTCCAAGGAGGCAGCATGTGTTTAGCAGTAGGAACTGGCTCACAATGGCATCACCCCGTAACTTTTTCCAGCTTGCTTTACCCAGGTCCTGGAACATTTCTGTTCTGCTGCTAAACACGTTTCCTGATTTCTCCTGCTCTGCTCCAGTCTTCTCTTCTGTCAGTGCTACAACAGCTGGTTTTTAGTCTCTGCCCATTGTTTCTAAATCCAATGCTATTGCAGTTTACTACTTTAACTAACAACGTACACTGCACTCTGTGTGTGTGTATGGTCCCATCTACTCAAAATCAGGATCTTTAAGAACATTAAGTGCTTAGATCTCACTTCTGAGAGAGGGGTAACTCTTCTCAGAAATATTATTTCACAAATGAAACCAAGTCATAGTCAAGCGATTAACGTAAACTGATATAAACCCATTGCAATGTCCTAGATAAGCTCACATCTTAGAAAGTGTTCAGCTACAAGACTGTAACCCCCTTTTGGAAGCAGGCACTTTCACTACAACAACAACAAAAACAAAACAAAACAACCAAAAACCAACAAAACAACCAGAACTAAGAAAGGGGACAAGTTTGGCTCCTCGAAACACAGCTGTAAACTTGCTGACCTCAATAGAAACTTGACTGCATATTTTCCATCAGTTACCAAGGAGTAAGTTTAACCAGAAATCTTCAGTTAAAAAGATCTGTAATACCATGCTTGCATCATTTCTGTCTCAGTATTTCTAATGGTCTACTTATGGTTTAACAGACATAGACCTGGCTATCTGGTGTGAGGCAAACACTCATAATTGGGAGGGGAAAAGCTTTTGCTGTTATAAATCCTGATTTCTCCTATGCTGCTCCAGGTGGCAGCCTCAGGAGAGGGAGCTACCATCAGCGGTTACCTCAGCAGATCTAAGAGAGGCAAAAGACACTGGAAGAAACGCTGGTTTGTTATCAAAGGCAAAGTCCTCTACACCTACATAGCAAATGAGGTACTGTGCAATCTGACTTGAAATAGTTTCCTGTGTTCTCTTCTTTACTCCCTACAGGCAGCACAAATAAATGTGAAAGGTATAAATGGCAGTTGCCACAACTACGTGCCTTCTGAGCTAACGGACTGAGTCCGCAGGGAGCCGTCCTCAGCTCTAGCTGGACCTCGGCAGCCTTCCTCACAAACTGCTCTTCATGATTTGACTTCTTGCTACTTATGCTACTATAAACTGTGAACCTTAGTCTACATATTTACACCTAAAGACTTCAAGGTCCTTCGGCATTCTCTGGTTACTTGGTAACTCCCACATATTTTGAAAATAGATGGTGCTATGATCCATTTCTGGTGGGGAGGAGAATCTTGTAGTTCTGCAACTGAAAATGGAACACATTTGTCCTAATAGTACCAGCAGGGAAAGACAGAAGCAGTCTGCAGAGGTGAGAATAATGCCTTGTGCATTGACCTGTAAGCTCCTCCTCACAGCTAATGAGGCTGGATATCAACAAGGTCATTTTTATGTATTTTGTCTCTTCCCAGTCCCTTTTCTTACTTTAATTTCTTCTTCTTTGTGAATAGCTGCTAAACAAATAAACTTCAAGCAAGTATGATATAGAGTCTGATGATAACTGATAGATTTCATAAACAGAAACATAAAAAAAATCATTGTGCTCAACAAAGGACACAGAATGCAAGAACTGTTACAGTAGCAATATTTGGTACTTTAAGCCTTCAAAACACTTTGCAAACATTATTTACCTAAACTTCCATCACCACTGTGACAGTTGCATGAAGCAACATTATCCCCTTTAAAGAGATGAGGAGACTGAGGCACTAAAGAGTTAATGATGCGGCCAGCAATTCAGGCCATTAGCACAAATCCTGTATCCGATTCATTTCTTTTACCTCTGCTAACCTTAAGAGTGATAATTTCTGGTTCAACAATAGGCAAAAAGCAATAGATGGCTCGTTACACTTTATATTCCCAGTTTGCAATTTAGCTTCTAAAAGCAAAGGCAAAGGCAACATACACATAAAGAAGACATTACCCAAACACAGTGACCAAACCTGCAGCTGTCAGTAACAGCTAGACTGCAGTTCAATTACGTATTATTGTTTTCTTTATCCTGTACAAAGCAGTGTCTGGCAAGCAAAATTAATGGATGTTTCTTGGGAGTAAGTTCATTGCATTACCAGAAATTTCAAAGCAGCATTTTGGAAAGCAAGTGTGCTGAGACAGTGCAGATCTCCAAAAGAGTTGACAGTGCTATGAAAGGAAATGACAAGGTACCAAAAAGACTATTACTTACAGTAAAAATGGTTGAAAGGAACCTAACTGCATGCGGGTTTCAAACTGTCAGAACTGGTGCTGTACTGTCCCATACTCTCAGTAACCTCTAGTTCGCCTCCTGGACCATTATGTCAAAGTAATTAAAGTAATGGCTAATTTGGCCTTCATGGTCGTGTGAATGATCACAAAGAACTGAACTTTCAGAGGTGGCATATGAGTTCAGGACCAAGACTAGATAAACATGTGCAGTACAGACACACTGCTCCTGGTTAGGTAAGAGCCGCAAGTCCAGCAGAAAATTCCACTACTGGGTTTGCAGCCCTGCCAGAGAGGGGCTGTATCCTTATTTGGTTTTCAGAAAGAGCCTTCAAACTATTACAAGCCTCCTCTGAATTTTGGTTCACTTCCTGTTTGCTTTCAGGACAAAGTTGCCACAGAAAGTTTGCCTTTGTTGGGTTTCACCATCACCCCAGAAAAGGAGGAAGGAAGCATGGATACAGTTTTCCATCTCTACCACAAGCACACTCTCTTTTACAGCTTCCGAGCAGAGGATAACAATTCAGCACAGAGGTACGGGGGTAGACTTCCACACTAGCCAGTGCACAGGTTCAGAAGCTTACTATGTAGGGCTCTTCCCTCTCCTTCACTTCAGAATGCTTTCATAACAGAGGAAACAAACAGCTTTCAGAGCGCTGATTAAGCCCATCACATGTGACTGGCCTGAGTGACATTAAAAACCTACTTGGCGTTTTTCACTTCCTTCAGGAAGGAGAATTTGGTCCTTGATATAGGTAAAGAGGAGGCTTAGTCTCAAGAGTCATGCCTAGAAGTCTGCCAAATATGGTTACTTACATAAACTTCCCTATGTGTTCTATTTATCCACCTCTTAGTTTCCTCATCAACACATAATGGCTTAGATTTCCCATTCTAATGTTACTGCTTCCACATAATAAAAGTTATTATGACATTAATAAAATATTGTAACAGTAATAAAAATACTAGCACAGGGACACACGGGGAAGGAAATGAGTGTTTATGAGAGGGGTTTTTGTTTTTAAACATACTTCTGTGGTTTCATCTTTCCTATTCTAAGACAGCACTTGTACTATCTTCGTGATTTTACAATAAATTACCGGACTGTAAAATCTATTTCATAATAAATTACTGGGACAAGAGTCCCAGTACCCAGTTCCCTGCTTTAATCAAAAAACTATAGATCCTCATTAGAGCTGGGACAGGAGATACAGTTCTCTTCAGGCTTTACGTTCTTAAAGTACTTATTTTTCTTAAAATATGTGTTTTCTCTGTAATGCATATAATTTTATATGTGCCACTTTTTCTTTCCTGCCCTTTTTAGGTGGATTGAAGCCATGGAAGAAGCATCCATATTATAGCAGCTATCACCAAATGAACTTGGAATAAATTCTCAGATTTCTATACATTTCCAGCAAACCTCTCTGTCTTACAAAACTGAACAGTGTATTTCAGGCAAACTGGCTATGTACACTGGATATGAACTGTTTCCACATTGCTCCTTTTGCTTCCTCCTTCTTACATCCACATAGATAATGTTTATGGAGATCTTTATGTCTGTGCAAGTTCAACCTGTACTATAAGCTTCTTCTCCAATCCCATAGGAAACTAAGTCTAACATCAAGACAAGAAAATACATGGAAATACTGACTACAGTAAGTAACAGGCTTAGTTTTACTCACTCTAGAGCACTGTCATATTTCATTGGGTTGATTTTGATGTCTATCATGAAATAAGAGACAATGTAGTAAACAACAAATGCTCATTTAAAGCACTTTATTTTTACTGAACTACAACTTCAGTTTCTCATATTTCGAAGGAGTTCATCCAGTAACAACTGCCAGTGTGCAATTATGCCCAGTGTATGCTAAACTGCTTCCACAGAAAATGACCACCACATTCAATTGACCTGGTCTATCAACACTTCACTGGCAACAACCCAGGATAATCACTTACCATCAATTTACGATTTTACAAAGATCACTGATACTTTCTGTCGAAGGGTTTAATTTCACACCACTGCAGTACTTTGAAATGCACTCTAGTAGCTCTACAAATCCATACATAGAATTATATCACTTCTTCCTAGATATTGCATCAGACTCAAACCCAAAGGTTATTTTTAATTTATTATGAACCTACAGACAGTTTTTATTTAACACTAGTCTACCTAGTAGTTTTATCATCTATTTAAGTAATGTATCTTTGTTTTCAAAGCTCCTTTTGTTTCTGCTGTTCTTGTTATGAAAAATGTCATCAGAAGTTTAATCCATATAACCAGCACACCATTTGCAATATGCTTGTGGGCTGAAATGCACTTGTCTGAACCTGCTCTGCTGGAGTGTTTAGAACTCCTGTGGCTAAATGCATCTTCCATCAGACTGCTGTTGTGCACTACATCTCCAGGGCTGGATTCTCAGCAGCTAAGTGTCTCTGGCTTCAAAGATGCTGTGCTGCTTTATACCAGCTGAGGATATAGATCTCTGGAGTCTGGGGGGGGTTGAACTTTTGTTTGTTTTGGGTTTGTTTTTTGCTTTTTAATTTTATTTTGGGGGTTGGGGGGTTGCGTTTCATTGTTGTTAGTTTTTTTTTTTTTTTATAAAGAAGGTTGAGAAGTTGTGTTCTAACCATTGCAATAAAATGGTTTTATGTTCTGTATTTGTCATATTTGACTGAGGAATAGAATTGCATTTATGATTAAAATATATCTTTGTATAAAAATACCATGTTCAAGAATTTACTTACATTAAAATATACTGGGGGTGGATTTTTATTACTTTATTTTTTTCCTTTTTTCAAGAAGCTTAATGGATATCTGAATTTTTGACCCTAACAAACTGTTTAGAATTGTCTCAATTTTTAAAGGTCTATAATATGTATTGAAATGATAAAGGTAGTTCAATTTATCACCTCAAAAAAAAAGCTTAAAAAATCCAAATGCACACCTACCATTAAATAAAAATATAATTGTTTTGGGGTTGTTACATCTGAATCTGTTAGTTTCATAAAGTAAACAGAAACCAAGTATGAGAAAAGTAAAACTTTTGTATTTAGTTAATAGATGAACACCAGTGTTCATCAATGAACGCTCTTTGTTTCATGTTATCATGGCCTTGCTACCAATACCCTGTAAATGTTTATCTTCCTTTAAAAATATTTTGCACTGGCAAAAAAAAAAAAAAAAAAAAAAATTGAAAAAGAAAACCAGAGAATGTTGACTACAGAGTGAAATCTCTAACCACAGTCCCAAACAAAAGAAAACTGCACTACAGAACAACAGTATTATGAAGATTCAGGTGCTGACATTTAGTGACTGTTGTATGAAGTTTTCAGTTATAAGCAGGAAATTAATACATGAAATTATTTTGTTGTAAACAGTAAGATACAGTGCTATTAAACATTGTTTCAAGTAACATGTAAAAATAAAAGAGCAAAACATAAATGCAGTTCTACAGGCTTTTCCTTTACATTATTTTTACCTTCTTTAATTCCAGCTTTGGAGCTCTTGTTGCTGTTAACAGACACTTACCTATTAACCAATTCTCTGACAAGCTAAGAAAGAGCATCAAATCATAAGATGGTAGTGGAGGCCTTCTGGTAGAAACAGGATTTAGACCTAACTACTACGATGGCATATTTCAGTCCAGGCTGCATTTACCTCCTGTAAAGCTCACCTACCAGTCAACTCTACTTCAGTTACAGATATAAATAGTTCCAATGCAGCACAAAGAAAGAGAAAAAAAATGTAAATATCCTCACAATTTCAGTCCATTAATCTAATTTCAGCAAAGCCAAGTACCAGAGACAGAAATTACCTTCATTTCAGAATTAATCATTTTTTAGAAAATTTTAACATCTTAGAGATATACTCAGTTTACCAGATGTCATTTACTTACAAACAGCTCTTTCTTCGTAAGCTGTAGATATTATTACTCTTTCAAAACAACGATTTAGTTCCACACCTTCACGAATGCACAAAAAGCAGATCTGTAGTAAGTCACAATGTACTAGCTACTCAGTCAATAGCTAAGATGCAAGCTGATCTCATTTGTGATTTTCTGCTTACTTTGCCAGTCACTGAAAAGCATTAAATTTATTAGCCATTATCTGCCATTAGATTTAGATTTATCTTACAGTACATGCCTACTTAAAATCTGTTTTTTCAACAGCTAAATTATTTCTCCAAACAAAGTTCAAGTCACTCAGAGTTGGAGAACACAAGGCACAAAGACTCATACTTCAAAAATCACCTAACAACTCTTGAAAGAAAGATTTAAATTGAAGGTGGCATTCACAAGGCTGTACAGTTTATACTTTTAAAACCTTCTCAGTCACTTGTAACTGCTGAATTCTTCCATGCTAAATACCAGCTTTGCTCTTTAAATTTTACCTCAGAAGTTTCAGGAAAATTACACGAAGATTTTAAGCACCTGAAATGACAACTTAAACAACAAAAAAACCCAATCCAACAGAGCTCTACTGTACTGTCAATCCCAAACATTTAAAACACACGAATAACATTAAATCCTGCTTTTATTTTGTACTTCTTTGCATGCCCTAACTTTTGACCCTCTCTTAGTCCATTACGTACTTACAGTGCCAACACCACAACCAAAGGATTTTTGGCCGGAGCCATGGGGTTACACAGCCCACCTCTGCATCAAAATGGCGCTCCCCTTCCACATCTAAAACACCCTTCCATCCCCGTCAGCCTGCACATCTCCCGTCTCACCTCTGGTCTGTGATGAATTCAATCTGTTCTCCTGGGCGAGGAGCAACTTCCACAGGGTCTCTTCCTCATGTGGCACCTTTGCACAGCTTATTTTTCTCTTCTGAGGCAGCTATCACAGAAGCAGCCAAAGGGTCCTTGTGACCAGCAGAAGAGTTTGGAAAAGACCGTGACTGAACTCCTCTCTGAACCATGGCTGGGAGCAGCAAACATTTCCTGAGAGGAACAGTGGCCTGTGGAGAGGACCTCACACCGCAACAGGTGAAACGCATGAGGAGGCCCTGACTGGAACCGCCATCACCTGTGCGCTGCCGTGAGGGTGGGAGCAGAGGGGCAAGGGGGAGAGGCTGGGGGGAAGGAGTGAAACAGAGCCTGGCAGAAAGGGACAGCAGGGGAAAGTGGTGGTTAGGTTTTGGCTTTTTCCCCATCCAAATCCGTTTTAACTGGTAATTAGTTAAATTCACTTTCCTAAAGTCAAGTCTGTTTTGCCCATGACAGTAACTGGCAAGTGATCTGTCTTTATCTCAACCTGCAAGCTTTTTCATCCCATTTTCTTCCCCTGTCCTGTTAAGGAAGGGTCAGCCTCTGGCTGCAATCCAAGGTCAGCTCACCACAGTGTGGTGGACAGATTTCATTATTTTCTTTGCTGCCAGTCAAGTTATTAACCTTCACTTCTAGCGCGCCTCAGTTCCCTCTGATCTTTTTAACCTCCAGCATCTTCTATGGAGTATATTTCTCTCCAGTCACAGCTAAAGCCAAAAAGGGGCTATGCAAGCACTTTTTGTTAATGCTCTTTCAGAAGTTCGTTGTATATATTTGGCAAATTTCAGAGTTATCTAATACTATATTCCTTATTAAACAAGTTAAGGGCCTACACGTTCTGTATTTCACTGAAGTTATTGCAAGAGCTACAGCAAAACTTGTCAGAATCCTGAAGCAGTTGTCTTCACTGCGCTTCTTGTTGCCAACCTCCGCGCACACGGTGGAGCTGCACAGCAAACAGGACTGCGCTCTGCACCAGAACTCAGAGCAAAACTGCTGCAAGGCCTTCTCTTGGGTGGCAGACACAAGGAGGAACATGGAGACAACTCCTGCCCCCCAGACCTTTCCTCAACTTGCTGAGCAGGAAGCAGAGAGGGTGAAAGTAGCAACTCATCTCTGGTTCTAGCATTTTCCATTCTTCCTTTCAGTCAGACTTGTCAGCAAGTGGAACGAGGAATTTATTAAAAGGGAATGAAAGGACAGCAACTGGAAGAGATGCTAAAGAATCCACAGCCATTTGTTACACTTAATTTGGCATATTACATAGAATTTTGGAGTTCCGATATTTTTTACCTATTAACTAACTTTAAATAAGCCCACAGACAAGACACTTGTCTCACTAGGGTACAGGTAGTGTGTTCATGTTACCTGCTTCTAGAGACATCCCAAAAATAACAACAATAATAGAAATAAGAGCCTGTCGCTACTACAATTAATTACCTGTGAGCTGCAAATTTAACATTTCCAAAATTTCAAGCAGTTAGGGAGATGAGTACAACACTACACAACAGAACTCTGAATTTGCTCACTATTTTTAATCACAAGAAACAAACTAAATCACACACTCGGAAGTTACGACATACCAGTACT